TTCCAAGCGCTGCAGCTTCAGGAGCTGCAAACGCTGCCAGCAGATATGTCCTACCTGGTAGTCTTGGTCTGCCTGAACTAAAATTGGATCCATCTGTGTAGTCCTTCCGTTCCTTCACCGATCTCGTGCTCGGAAATCGGAACTTGAAAAGATACTGCGAGCGTGGGAGTCCACATGCTTGCTGTTTTCAATCTCCTCCAGATTAAATAATTTGCCCGCTGCGGTCGCTCATGTTGTTTATTAACCGCAGACGTAAAAAACAGCTGGTCAAACGTGCGTGTTCCTTGCGGAGAGCGGATAAGTTATCGGGCCAAAATTTGGCTTGAACGAGGGGTTCGCATGTGCACAAATCAGGACACAGAAGTGTGCGAAACGAAATTACTGACATCGCTGTGTTTAATTTCGGAATTTTGCGGAGCGACAAAAGGAGGTGTGCGTGTAGTATGACTTGCAGTTCCAAGCGCTGCAGCTTCAGGAGCTACAAACGTTGACTTTTTAAAATTACTTTATTAACCGCAGACGTAAAAAAACAACAGGTCATATGTGCGTGTTTTGCGTCATTGGTTATCAGTGCGAAAGCGATACGCCCAATGGTCTCGAGTACATTTCGTGTGCGCGTCATATAGCGGGTTTTGTCTCCTGAAAGCTACTCGTATCTGATGAGTTGGCTGGCGTTTAGGGGTTGAAACTCAGGTTCGGCACTTGTTCTAGATTAAGCGGCGTGAAAAAGTATTTCAATCGTTGCTTTGGGATGTCTTGTTGGCGCATTAGCATTAAGGTTTGCTGAGGCGCGTTCCTATACGTGTTGTGCCAATTTAATTCGAGCAGGTGCAGTTGCTCCTTCTCTTCCTCATCCCCTCCCTCCTCCTCCTCCTCCTCCTCCTCCTCTCCCACCCACTTAATCTCGGGATACCCATTTGGTTGAACGTGTTTGGGAATCAGTGCATAGTGTATTGTAATCTAGGTCTAGGGATGTTTTTTACTGAAATCCCAACCGATTCCACCGAGGGTAACGTTTGCCCCTAACTCCTTTCTCAATGTGTGTCTACTGGGCAAGTATGATGCTGATTGCGTTTTCGTCTCTGGCAGAACAGCATAATTACCCGTGGCATCGGTGCTTATCCCCTGGTCCTCTCACGCTTTACAGACTTTGATAAGTGGCGCACGATCTGAGTCACACACCCGTTCACTCCAGCACCACTTCCTTTATACTGATCTGTCTTCGCAGACCTATGACTAGAAAGTTCTATATTGGATCCTCAACTTGCCTTTGTTTTACTACAATGAAGGTAGCACACCAAACCCTTCAGATGGAATTATGACTGACCACCTTTTTGATTGATGCCCTGATATTCGCGCAAACCTTGTCTTCGCCTCCCTTCCCGCGCTCTAGGACGGTCAGCGCAGAAGATGCAACTTGGGACAAACCTTGTTTTGTCGCTCTCTTTCCTGGCATGAAAGACCGAGATTTCTGAAATTATCCGCTTGGTTATTCTCTGGAGTTCACATACCGAAAACCGCATAGAGAACGCTGGGGACCTACTATGAGCCGAACCCCTCGCAGCTGTGTCACGCAGCGGCAGAATATCTGCGAAACACGAGTCTGGGCTTTTGGCTAGTATCTTTTTCGGGAGTACGGCATACTAGCTTTACTATATATATGTATATATGTCAGGGCAATATAACTATGGTTCGCGAGATCTTCTCTTCTTCTTCTTCTTCTTCTTCTTCTTCTTCTTCTCTTTTATGTCCGGGGACGCGTATCTTCGCTTCTATCAGTAATATGTATATATATGTACGTGCACGGGGGTATGCATTTTTTCTTGTAGCGATAGCGGACACACAAACAATTGACGAAAGCTAATAATGGCAGACTGCGTAACGAAAATTTGCGAGCATTCTACTGCAGCCCTGTGTCCGGTTTCGCATTCATTCATCCCCTCCGGGTTTCGAGTGCGAGATAGAACTAAAAGAGGAATGAAACACAAAGCCTCGCCAAATAAATTGGCCCGCATCCTTAGGACCCACGTCGTACAAGACAAGTTTCTTGTATGACAGTTCTCGCCAGTGTGATCCCTGAACGAGCAAGTTTTGATTAGTAGGGGCTGAGTGACCAGCATATGAGTACGATATACAAAATGATGCTTTGGGCCACGGCAGCTAATACGCTCATCTCTAGCTCAGATTTTCTTGACATTGTTCCGCAATTGGAGCAGGATGGGTGTGGCCAGTGAAGGTGGAGTCGACGGCCATCAAGTGGCCTCCTTACAGCACACGCCCAAGTCACCACTGACTCGGCGGTCTTCCTTGTGCAGGGCAGATAAATTATCGGCCGAATGGTAGCTCGAACGAGGGGTTGCTATGTGCACAATTTAGGCCGCAGCACTGTGCAAACCGGAACTAATGACATCGGTGTGCATAACTGCCGAATTCCTGCAGTGTGATGCGCGAGAGGTGTGTCGTAGGAAGCACAGTCCGGAGCGCTTAGGTGTGATTCCTACAAAAGCGTTTCAGCTGAGAGGGCAGGCCGACGTGTGCATATACTTCAGTGTTGTCATTTTAGAACTTTCCTAATCATCGTTTTAGACCGCCTTGTTAACGCATCTGCTCCCTCGTATGATTATATGACTGCAGCAGAATTTGTTGTAACACGTCCCTACACACGATGGGCCGAGTTCCTTCGAACAAATGCAGCTACTCCTCTTCTTCTCCTTCTTCTTCATCATCATCATCTTCCTCTTCCTCCTCCCTCTTCCTCCTCCTCCTCCTCCTCCTCCTCCTCCTCCTCCTCCTCCTTTTCTTCTTCTTTTTCTTCTTCTTCTTCTTCTTCTTCTTCTCCTTCTTCTTCTTCTTCTTCTTCTTCTTCTTCTTCTTCTTCTTATTCTTCTTCTTCTCCTCTCTTATCTTGATATACTTTTCTGGTTGCGGATGTTTGGCAGTCAACGCGGTTTATAAGTGCTTGTATTGCCAATTCGCTCTCACCCTCCCTTGTGACGTTGCAACCCAGACGGCTTCATGAGTTCGCTGACTTCAGCAGCACTGCTTTCAATTCCTAACTCGTCCTGTTAACACACGTACTGATCTGTTTTCCCTGACCTAGGGCTGGAGAGTTCTCGATTGGATGCTACCTTGCTTTTGTTTTACCATAATCAAGGTAGTACATCTGTCCATTTGGATGGAATTACCATTGATCGCTTTTTCAATGAGTCCCCTGACATTCGTGCAACCCCCGTCTTCGTCCACTAAAAATGCGCTACATGTAACACGTGACTATCCAGTCAGGGGGTGGGCGTATTTTGCGTCACCTGTTATCAGTCCGGAAGTGATACGCCATTTCGGCCTCGAGTACACTTCGTGTGTGCGTCATATAGCGGGTTTTGTCTTCTGGCAGTCATTCCTATCTGAAGAGTTGGCCGGCATTTAGAGGGGTAAAGGCTCGAGCTCAACCTTTGTTCTAGATCAAGCCGCGTGAAATTGGGCTTCACACCTTTTCCGTGATGGCACTGTGGCAGCTGCCGATGCGTGCATGCGTGCGTTGACTTTTTAAAATTCCTTTATTAATGCTAAAAACGATCCCTGTTTACCAGCCACCGAGCGAGCGTCAACCAGATCTTGCCGACAGACGGAAGCCTGCCATTGCACTATCATGAGCGACTACAAAAGCCCGTGCTTGTCACAGTGAACCCAATGACACTTGATTTAGGCAGTGCGGACCTCTTGGCACGAAAGTGGTTCATCCAGACACTACAACTGCCGTGGCCCTTAGACAATCCACTTGTGGTCAGCAAGCTATCTAGCATTGTAACAAATTAATCCGGGTGACTTTCAACGTCTCCCAAACCTTTTTGAACGGGGAATATCGAACTGATCACTTCCCCCTAACACTAACTGCCCGAAGCCCTGTTCAGGCCATAAACGCAGCTTTCCAAAGACACGCGTTTGCTGAATCGTCTTTGGAAGTGTAAGTATTCTGGTGTACGAATAGAACAACACAGAAATCGACGAAAGAACAAACACCGCATAATTAGATTTGATGAACGCCACATCAAATACGGTGATCAAACTAAGAGTTGTCTGTCTCGATATTATGCAGCATTTTCCGACCAAAACCCCTCTAAACAGATTCTACTGTTTTACCCTCCCATTCACGCAAGCCCACAGCAATTCGTACGGAAATTTCAAATAATTTCATAATTTTCAAACCGATTTTCTCCTGTTCTTTCACAGAACGCAATAGAGAATGTCACAACGAATTTGCCTTTTCAGAATAAAATTCAGCAGTTCCTAGCTAAGCCGGGAGTTAAAGTACTTACGGTTAGGCGTCCAGATCAAGGTGAGTAAAATCTGTTATATCGCAAAACACGCAAAGGATGCAATATACAACCAAGCCCTACATTTTACTTAATACTGGCTGCTGATTCTTACGGAATTAGTGCTGTTTACTTTGGGGTACACTGGCTGCCTTTTTCAAGATAACATGAATTTTCGCTTAAATATCACATTTAGCTTATTTGTCGATTGGTATACATGCTAATGAATAAACTTTACCAGGTCACTTTGGCGGCTTCCCTGTATTCTGCTGTTCTGCATCATTATGTCGTACCGTTGGGTTAAAGTTCCGACTTTACTCTTATGGGGTTCGCCAACGTCATTCTTCCTTGGGTTTCTATTGGCTATTTCGCTGCTTTGATCTCTGAACCTGGCGTCTTATTGTGCAGGCGCTATATTTGGCTCCCTTTGGTTTTTTGGTGTTATATTTCGTTAGTATGAAATTTTTCCCGTCGCTTTCAAGGTCATGCACGAATCTATTTGAACCTATTCACGGAATTAGAACTTCTTACCAAAACTTTATCATTTTCACCACTCTCTTTCTCATCCACTAGTCCCACCCATATAACCACTACTTCAACCGGTCCCGTAAGACACGATAACATATCCTCCGTATTCTGGATGAGGTCGCATATTGAATTCCTGCCCAAAACACCTCATCCATATGAGCGACAGAGATCATGAAGTCCAGTGTTTTGTGTGGGGAACCATCTCGGATTCAGTCCCCAAAACAGACTTCACGCGCGTGAACGATTTCACGTCATCTCACCGTTTGAAGTTATGCATTTAGTGGGATGAGGATTTCGAATGACAAAAAGAAAGTTATCGGGTTGAATGCAACCAACAGAAATTTGTCTGACAAGCCGGCAGATGAAAGCGTGGGAACAAGATGAATTATTTTTTTTGGTACGGCGATTTCACGAGGACAATTAACATAGACAGCAAAAATTTGGTTGCTTTTGGCCATGGTCAAAATGTTCAAGACGAAAGGTATAGAAGGGATATTTAACTTGAAAGCCATGCTTGGCATCCACGCATAGATACCCGTTTTAAGAAGACGCATAAAAGTCACTTCCGACTAAGATTTAGTCAAAAGACAGAGGAGTAAAGAAAACGGTTTTCAGCCTGGAGGAATCGCATGATTGTGCTCGGAAGATAAGCCATTTAACGGGCAAAAATTTGAGGGGGAAGGGGGGAAGAGACATAGGGCATCTCGATAGAAGCAAAGAGACAAGTTCCAGTTCTTCTTTTGAACGGGGTATGCCTCGCAGGGGCGATATCTTCCTCAACGGAGAGCGTGGCGGTTAGTCTGTCACGCGACAGCACAAAAATTTCAAAAACTGCTGAGTGCACGCGGCGGAGTTTCCCTTGCTCAGTGAAGCTTCGTGTGGAGGCTGATCCAGTCACGGACCAGCCGTGTTGTGGCACGCGTAGTCAGAGGCCGGCCAGAACTGCCATCACCCAATTCACTCTCATGACCAGAAAAGACCTGTAGCAAGAGGTATACAACCGTGCAGTCGGCCCGGACTGTCTTTCGACTAAACCAAATGCATAGTCTGTAGTGAAACTCAAATGCCGCCTGGACTCAGTCAACGGAGCACTGTTCACCCTCACACACAGAGACAGGTGTAAGGCAGCGCCTCCTCAATAAATGTTGATGATCACGCTGTCTGCAAGCTGACTATGACGCGTGAACGCTGAACACCAACAGCAACGACGTTCATACCGTCCTGCCCCTTCCGAATGATGGTACTCGCACGAGAACTGGATCATTTTAATGCGTACATCTCAGCACTCAGTGAGAATCTGTTTTTTTAGAATAGCGACATCTAAACGAGATCGGTGTGAATGACGCTTCATTCGCAGGGAACCGTCATGAGAGATCAGGCGCGTGTGCAGTGGCTGAAAGACGACTCTACGCGAGCCACACACGGACTTGGTGCCTACTGCGATTATAGGGCTGTAAAAAGGTTAATTAGGGTCACACACATCAGTGAGTGCCATAAAGATCACGCTGTGAAGCAGCCACCAAGACGTACCGTGTTACTACCTGAGTGGGAAATCTTCCAAGCAAAGACTATAAATGAGTCGCGATAGGTTCAATCGCGTAAGACTTGGGGCTAGGAGGCCTACGTTGATGTGCTGCGAGGACTGATTTCTCGATGTGAATCCCACTCTTATGCACCAGTGGGCCGCTCGAGCTTGCCAGGCAGGTGGTAATTGGATTGGGCACAACTGCCGGTATGGCGTGCAGAGGCACCCCGAAGGCGTGCCAAAACGGCTGAGTTCGCGCTGGCCTAGCGCAGTCCGGTAAACACATACAGTGAGTGACCGATCTCATGAAATGCTGGCTGGAATTCTGAAATGCGTTTTCAATTAGGAAGGATTACTTAGGCGCGGTTGGTAAACTGATTATCTTGCGGCATAATCCTATAATATTTCGGACTCGGAAGGATGTCAGCTTTTGAATACACTGCTTTTCAATCTCCTGTAGAAAACGTAATCTGTAAAAATGACTACTTAAGTAGCGTGCATTTTCTTGTTGGTTTTCGATGATCTTGCAAATTCAAAAATATTTTATAGACAACATGAACAAAAATATGCTTTCTTTCAGTCGTTTGATAGAGAATCACGTCGTCTTCGTATTCCATACTCGAAGAGGTTTTAAAAAAGTTTCCAGTTATGAGATGTTTTAAGATCGCGCAATGTCCATTCACATAGAATCGTACCTGGTCGTTTACCACAGCTCCTCATGAAATATACAACATAGTCAGCATCCATTGCTAAATTTTCTGGACTCTGTAGGATGTCTTTTTAAAGGCATAGGAAAATATGTGATTTTCTTTACGCGGAACGCATACATTCTGTAGACTGAAATCACTGAGCGCTAATGCAACGAATGATCAGGCTCCAAATTATTCGGCAATTAGAAAACTTTGTTAAAGCCTAATTATACTCCTTCCTTGAGTGTAAAATTTAAAGAAGACGTGATTCTCTATTAATTGACTGAAAGAAAGCGTATTTTTGTTTATGGTTTTTATAAGATATATTTGAGTTTGCAAAAACATCGAAAACCAACGGGAAAAATGTATGCTGCTTAAGTAGTCATTTTTTTACCAAGTGTGGTTTCTACAGGAGATTGAAGAGCAGTGTATTCAAAAGCTGACATTCTGCCGAATCTAAAAGATTATATAATTATGCCAGAAGATAATCAGCATTACAACCGCGCCTAAGTAATTCCTGCTAGAAAACGCATTTCAGAATTTCAGCCAACATTTCATGAGATCGGTCACTTACTGTATCATGAGCCAGAGTGGTCCCGTTTTTACCCGGCGCACTTTAAGCGCAGCCTGCAGGGTGGGCCATGGACAATCCAGCAGGGTCCAACGAACAAGCCAAACCACCACCAACCAAGCTGTCTCCGAGGGTTGTTGATAATGAAGTGGCAGGAAGGTATTCCGGACGTCCGAACTCCCATCATCCAATTCGCCCTCATGACTAGAAAAGACCTGTAGCAAGAGGTACACAACCGTGCGGTCGGCTCGGACTGTCTTTCGACTAAACCAAATGCATAGTCTGTAGTGAAACTCAAATGCCGCCTGGACTGTCTAAGAGACCTCAGGCAA